GCGAGGCGCTGTCCAGGGCTGATTTGCAGATACTGTGGCTCCGGCGGCGGCCGCCGCGCCGGGCGGGGGCGGGCGGCCGAGCGGGATCGGGTTACACCGGCGCGGCCTCGGGGCTGGGCCGGGGGCGTCCATGGGGAGCGGCGCGGAGCCAGAACCCCCTCCCCAATCGAGGCCAGGCCGCCGCCTCCGCGCGGGCCCGGGCGCCCCTCTAGTCGAGTCCTGAGGCCAAGGAGCGGAGCTGCTTGAGGCCCTGGTCCTGAAACTTCCTCCCCGTCCTCCTGCTCCCAGGTCCCGCCGCAGCCCCTCGTCGGCCCGCGGCCCTCCCGTCCCCCTCCCTCTCTGGCCTCTCCCTTTCGCCGGAAGGCGCCGTTGAGTGCGGCCGGGCGGGTTGAGTCAGCCCCGCGGCCCGGGCGGTTCCGCCAATGGGGCTGGACAGCGATTTCTGCTCTCGGGCCGCCCCGCCGCCGCGGCCCTCCTCACCCGGCCACCTAGGCGCGCGAGCTGGCGGGGTTGGGGCGCGCGTCCCGCGGGGCGCTGTGGCGGAGTGAGTTCGCAAACTTCCGGGGCGCGGGGGAGGCGGCCAGCGCGCGTGGGGCCCCCCTCCGGCGCTTGGGGCCCGACGCCTCCGGAGGGCGCCCGCGGAGCCTCCCGGGCCCTCGGCGGAGGGCGAGTCCAGGGGCCGTGAGAGGAGCCGGGACGCCGGCAACGCGGTAACTTTCTTCCCTCTACCCAAGACTCGGGGCCCGCAGGCCGGGGAGGGGACAATCCCGAATGGGGAAGATTTGGTCTGGCCCAGCGGCGCCCCGAGTTTGACCACTGCCTTTCTTAGTGTTGGGGAGCTCAGGAAAAGCTTCAGGACGAGTGTTGGGGCAACTCCCGCGAGTTGGTGTGTAAATGTGTGCAGTGAGCGGGCCCAGCCGAGAGGAAGCGAGAGCGCCCGAGTTTGCAAAGAGCTGCTTTGTGTTTGGTATTTTGAGAAAATGGCCGAATGCCTATTTCAGTCAGGAATGCCGCCGCCGAGGCAGGCGCTGGTGGCAGCCACACATAGGAATTCGTGCAACACGTTGGGTTTTCGGGCTGTGCTTAGACGGCCTTCCTGACGAACGTTAAAATTCCTTTAGGGATGGTAGTTAGGGTTCAGGGGGGTATTAGAAAACTCGATTTTGGGTAAATTGCCAAGTAGCCTAGGCTGTTAAGCCCTGGGGCAGCTTTTGCCCTCAGTTTGCTTTCTGTGATGGCATTTGATTCCAACTTTTGGTACGTTGGTTTGTGTTTATGCACCTGGATGAAACGGATTACTTTTTGTATTGGGGTTTGGTTTTATTTTTTGAGTGCTTGTCACTTTACTTTTTTTTAATTTGCAAGGCAGCACTCAATTTGAGAATACCACGTTTTAGATTGGAAAGTAATGTGGTTAAGGCGATTTTAAAAGCCCAACATGTTTTCAAGAAGGTGATCTTGTAATGGCTTCCACTAAGCAAGTAGGCCAAGTCAAGCACAATGCGAGAAAGTCGCTGATTGTCCGGTTGAGTTGTACGATTATTAGCGGGGCCGAAAGTTTCTTTATTTTCATTTGTGAAGTTTTGAATACAGGGAGCTTCCTTTTTTCATAGGAGAAAAGGTCTGCAGTTGTTTTTGTTTTTGTTTTTTGTTTTTCCCTTTTAAACAGATCTAGTCATTAAAAATAAACTGTTACTTTTTTACAGTAGTTTATTCTTCTGGAGTTAGTTAAGTTCATCTGAAAGTCAAGTCAGTTGACCAATTACTATAGGCTTCTACTTTCCAGACATGTTTGTACTTAATAAATGCATAGTATGGCTTTTTGATTTCTCCCTTTTCTGATTTAGACAAGTAAACCATTGAAGGGGAAATTGGGAGGACAGCAATTAACTATTCATGTATTGAATTTAAATATAATTTTAGTTAATGTTAAAGATGAAGTTATTTTTTTTCACCAGAAAAATGAAAAGCACTTGAGGGAAGGCATGCCACTGGGTAGGCCAAGTTGATGGATGAGTTATGTCAAACAATTGATAGAATTTTTTGCAGGGATAAGAGAAATTTTTTTGATGACTGCAATAAAGAAAATTTGGAATTACAAAAATATTTTAAAGCCTTAATTTTAGCAATTAATGAACCTCATTGAATTTAAAGATTATATTTGAGAAAATTTTTTTAAGACATGAAGAAGTATAGCGATATTTTGGATGTTGTGTTTAAACTGGTACTTTGTGGTTTTTGTTTTATTTTGAATTCAGAATACAGTCATGGCCACCCAGGTAATGGGGCAGTCTTCTGGAGGAGGAGGGCTGTTCACCAGCAGTGGCAACATTGGCATGGCTTTGCCTAACGACATGTATGATTTGCATGACCTCTCCAAAGCTGAACTGGCTGCACCTCAGCTTATCATGTTGGCAAATGTGGCCTTAACTGGGGAAGTAAATGGCAGCTGCTGTGATTACCTGGTTGGTGAAGAAAGACAGATGGCAGAATTGATGCCTGTTGGAGATAACAATTTTTCAGATAGTGATGGAGAAGGACTTGAGGAGTCTGCTGAAATAAAAGGTGAACCCAGTGGACTGGAAAACATGGAACTGGAAAGTTTGGAACTGAGTGTTGTAGAACCACAGCCTGTGTTTGAGGTATCAGCTGCCCCAGAAATTTATAGCTCAAATAAAGATCTTCCTCCTGAAACATCTGGAGCAGAGGACAAATGCAAGAACTTGAAGAGCAAGCCCTTTCGCTGTAAACCATGCCAGTATGAAGCAGAATCTGAAGAACAGTTTGTGCATCACATCAGAGTTCATAGTGCCAAGAAATTTTTTGTGGAAGAAAGTGCAGAGAAGCAAGCAAAAGCCAGAGAATCTGGGTCTTCTACCACAGAAGAGGGAGATTTCTCCAAGGGCCCCATTCGCTGTGACCGCTGTGGCTACAATACCAATCGATATGATCACTATACTGCTCACCTGAAACACCACACCAGAGCTGGGGATAATGAGCGAGTTTACAAGTGCATCATTTGCACATACACCACAGTAAGCGAATATCACTGGAGGAAACACTTGAGAAACCATTTTCCAAGGAAAGTATACACATGTGGAAAATGCAACTATTTTTCAGACAGAAAAAATAATTACGTTCAACATGTTCGAACTCATACAGGTAAGAGTACCTTTGTAGTCCATAAGTTCAACTCACTTCTGATAGTCAATTCAGTAAATAGTTAAAAGTAGTACTGCAGAAGGGGGATTCTGTTTTCAAGTCCTGGTTTAGTTATTTGCTGTCTTTTTGACCTTGTCATTTAACCTTTTTGTGCTTCAGTTTCTCTCTCCATGGGGGTAACTATATGGGACTGGAAGACAAGTGAAGAAACACTTATTTGAAAGAATGGGCAAGATAACTATTATCAGTGTTATTGCTAAAATTCGTATTCTAACAACTTGGGATTGATCATTTAACTAAATTAGACTACTATTTTTTTAGAAGCTGTATTTAGTTGATAGTGAATACATCTAAGATGCAGTATAGTTTCCCGAAGGAATTGAGGACTTAGACAAAAAGGAAAACTCAGTGATTAACCCTTGCATAGATCCGTTTAACAGAAACAAGCTTTTTATTTGTTTATTTTTTTAATATTTATTTTTGAGAGAGAGACAGCATGAGCTAGGGAGAGGCAGAGAGAGAGGGAGACACAGAATCCAAAGCAGGCTCCAGGTTCTGAGCTGTTAGCATAGAGCCCAACGTGGAGCCCAACACAGGGCTCAAACCCACAAACTGCGAAATCATGACCTAGGTTGAAGTAGGACGCTTAACCGACTGAGCCACCCAGGTGCCCTAGCCTTCAACTTTTTTAAAAAATTTGTTTTGTGGTATTCAGTTCCTACATAGAACAACTTAACTTGTCCCCAAAACATAGGAATGTGAGAAGTTAGTTTTTGAAAGATTGGTGGGATTACCACACTTGAATTCATTAGAAGAAAGCAAACACACATGTGGAAAATGCAGCTATTTTTCAGACAAAAAATAATACTGTTCAGCATGTTTGAACTCATACAGGTAAGAGGACCTTTCTAGTTTGTAAGTGTACTCTATCAAAAAAAAAAATGGAACAATCTTAAAAATACGAAAATTTTCAAATATCCCAAAGAGAATATGAACTTATACCCATTATTATCTGTATTCAACAGTTACCAGTATTTTATCACAGTTGGCAATTTTTTTTTTAATATCAGCTTTATTGAGATATAGTTCACTACAATGGAATTCATCTGTTTAAAGTTACAATTCATTGGTTTTAGTATATTCACAAAAGCTGTGTAACTATCACCACAGTTTTTAGGACATCTTCACCCTAAAAAGAAACCCTATTAGTGGTTGGTCCCCATTTCTCCCCAACACCCCTTAATCATTCACTTTTGAATTGATTTATAAATCTGTGTAAAGGTTCTTTCTCTCTCTCTTTTTTTTTTTTTTCCAACGTTTATTTATTTTTGGGACAGAGAGAGACAGAGCATGAACGGGGAAGGGGCAGAGAGAGAGGGAGACACAGAATCGGAAACAGGCTCCAGGCTCTGAGCCATCAGCCCAGAGCCTGACGCGGGGCTCGAACTCCCGGACCGCGAGATCGTGACCTGGCTGAAGTCGGACGCTTAACCGACTGCGCCACCCAGGCGCCCCATCTTTTTTTTTTTTTTTTTTTTTAAAGTAAGTTGTAGGCCCAGTGTGGATCTGGAACTCATGATCCTGAAATCAAGAATTGCATGCCTCACCAAGTGAGCCAGCTAGGCGCCCTAAGGGGTGTGTCTCTCTCTCTTTTTTAAAAAAATATTTTAGAGAGAGAGGATGTGTGAGTGGGGGGGGGGAAGGGGGAGAGAGGCAGAAAGAAAGAGAAGAATCTTAGGCAGATTCCATGCTGAGCCCAACGTGAGCTATGTCCCATGACCCTGGGATCATAACCTAAGCTGAAATCAAGAGTAGGTTGCCGAACTGACTGAGGCACCCAGGCTCTCTGAAGTCTCATTTTTTAAGAAAATGTTTGTAAATTATTGGGACTTAATTTTCTCACGTTACATTATTTGCTAAGAATTGGTACCTTTGAGGACTGATTAGTGGTCTGAACAAAATGGATGGGATAATCTAGTATGGTACTCTGGATCACAAATGAAAAGGGGTTTGTAGGATGCTGTTTGAACATCAGGTCCCTTTTGCAAGAGTTATCACTCTGCAGGACTGAATCCCACCGGTAGAGCAGGGCACACAGTAGGGAGAAGGAATCGATAGTGCTTTACTGAAGTGGTAGACTTAATAAAACTTGCAGGTGAAATTCTATTACAAGAAGGATGTCTGCAGCAAGATTTCTAAGCCCCAGGAGATAGCTACTGAATTTAAAGCTTTAAAATCTAGTCAAATAAGAGAATTTGTAGATCTTTTGGAATTTGTTGTAACCTTTGACTATCTCCATACTTTGAAACCATTTTAATTTCAGAATTGAAAAAGTTCAAACATTATAAAATTATGTGGCATAGGAAATGAAAGTTACTTGGAACTTCTACCCCATTAAGTACTTAATAGTTTGAATTAAACAGACTAGCCTCATCTACAATGTCTTAAATTCCAGCTAGCATATATACTTCAGCCATAAGTACTTGATATTCATTTAATAATATTTTGAGAACCTTAGGGCTTAATTTAGATTGGCTGTGATCTGTAGAGCTTTCAGGTAGTAACCATGGCATGACTTTAATCTGTACACTTTGATGAACTGTTTTAATTGAGGTATAACTGATGATGAACTTTTACAAATATGTGTACTCCTGATCGCCATATCAGCACCCCAGTGCTTTTGTCTTGATACACTGGGATTTTTTTTGGCCAGTTGTATTTTGCTAATTCATATATTTCCTAAAAAGCTAAAAATGTTTTCAACAACAAATTTAAATTTAAATTTGTCAATTTAAGAATATTTTTAGAACCAAAAAGAAAATGGAGAAAACTGGAAAAGTGTTTCAGTATTCAGTATTTTGTGTGTATTTCCAATTTTTTTGTGAAGTGTTTAAAAAAAAATTTTTTTTTTTAACATTTATTTATTGTTGGGAGACAGAGAGAGACAGAGCATGAGCAGGGGAGGGGAAGAGACTGGAGGAGATACAAAATCTGAAGCAGGCTCCAGGCTCTCAGCTGTCAGCACAGAGCCCTATGCCGGGCTTGAACTCACAAACCATGAGATCATGACCTGAGCCCAAGTTGGACGCTTAACCCTACTGAACCACCCAGGTGCCCCATGTAAAGTGTTTTTTTTAAACAACTCTTTGCCATTTCTTAATTTTTTTGTGTAGTGTTTTATTTTAATCTAATTGCAGTCTAGGTGACTAATTTTTTTTTAATGTTTATTTATTTTGAGAGAGAGCGTGTGCATGTGTGTGTGTCAGTGGCAGAGAGAGAATCCCAAGCAGGCTCTGTGCTGGCAGAGGTCATGACCTGAGCTGAAATCAAGAATCGGAGGCTTAACCAACCGAGTGGCCCAGCTGCTCCTTTTTAAGGGTATATTTTGTATACTGAAGTGTACCACCCACACCTTTTTTTCCACATTAATTTAAGGTTGATTATTTCCACAGAAGGCTAACATTGGTTGTATGTATCTCTCATTTCACATTTTAGCGTTAAACTTGTGTGGTCTCAATGCTTTTTGAAAAGATTCTTTTCTCCTTAATGTCACCTTATTTATGATTTTTTTAAAAGTATTTTAAAACAGTTTGGTAGTGTATACATTGGAGGATAATATTTTGATTATATAAAGTCTGAGTATCTGGTGTTAAATGCATGGTTCTGAAGATTGTATGTATTTATGGAAAAATAAATTCATTTAGTGCTGAAGAGTTAAAAAACGATAGAATCACTTCTCACTTAAGTAGTCTAGTTTTCAGATTCACTTAATAGGTTTCTTCTGTTCTTTATTGAGTGCCCAGTATTAGGTACTTATGCTAATCTTCAGAACAGTCTATTGAGGAATACAAGATAAGTTATAATAGTCCATGTTTACTGAGAGGTAACTGTGAAGTAATGTGCCCAAGGTTAGATACAACTAAGAATCAAAGTTTGATTCTCTTTTTATGGTTAATTATCATGGTGGTGGGCTGAGGATTATTTTTATTTGGGTCTTCAATCAGAAGATTTTTAATTTTGTGTGTTTAATATTTAACCAGTTCACAAATTTTACTTTAAAAGATGACATTTTAACCTTTATTTGTGACTGAAAAATGACTAAGTTTTCTAGAGTAGTTATGTGTATTTTGTAGAATTGAGCAGATAGAAGCAATCTATTCTGTTATAAGGAATTTAAAATAAATTATTAATTGATCCTTTATGTTAATCTATAATGGTATTTAATTTTTCTTCCATTAAGTTTTTTTGGTAATAGCTTGATGGACATACATTTTACATTACCATACAGCTAACTATGGATTGGCCCATTCTGGATGGTTCACATAAATAGAATCATACAGTTAGTATATGGTCCTTTGTGACTACCTTCTTTCACTTAGCATAATGTTTTCAAGGTCCATCCATGTTGTATACACAGTACTTGTTTTCCTTTTATTGCCAAATAATATTTTCTTGGAGGGATATACAACATTTAGTTTATCCATTCATCAGTTAGAATATTTGGATTGTTGGGGCACCTGGGTGGCTCAGTCGGTTAAGTGTACAACTTAGGCTCAGGTCATGATATCACGGCTTGTGGTATCACATCGGGCTCTGTGCTGACAGCTCAGAGCCTGGAGCCTGTTTCGGATTCTGTGTCTCCTTCTCTGTCTGCCCCTCCCCCGCCCATGCAGTGTCTGTCCCAAAAATAAACATTAAAAAAAATTAAAAAAAAAAAAATATTTGGATTGTTTCTGTTTTTTTGCTTTTGTGAATAATTCTATGAGCATTCATTTGCAAGTTTTTGTGGACATAAGTTTTTATTTCTCTTGGGTATGTACAGTTAACCCTTGAACAATGCAGGGATTAGGGGCACCAACCCCGACGTAGTCAAAAATCTGCATATACCTTTTGACTCCCCCAAAACTTAACCACTAGTAGCCTACTGTTGACCAGACTCCTTGCCAATAACATAAACAGTCGATTAACACATATTTTGTGTATGTGTTACATACTGTATTATAATAAAGTAAGCTAGAGAAAACATGTTAAGAAAATCCATGAGGAGGAGAAAATAAATTTACACTACTGTACTGTATTTATTGGGGGAAAAAAAGCACGTATAAGTGGACCTGCACAATTCAAGCCCATGTTGTTAAGGGTCATCTGTGTATACCTGGTAGTGGAGTTGCTAGGCCATATGGTTTTGAGGAGCTGCCAAACTGTTTTCCAAAGTGGCTGCACTATTTTACAATCTCACCAGCAGTGTATGAGTATTCCAATTTTTCCATATCCTAACCAATACTTGATAACATCTGTCATTTTGATTATAGCCATCCTTGTGGGTATGAAATCTTCCATCTCATTGTGGTTTTGATTTGCATTTCTGTCATTGGTAAAGATAGTGTGCATCTTTTCATATACTTACTTGTCATTTATGTATCTTTACAGGAATACGCTCAACATTTTTTTAAAGGTTTTTTTTTTTGTTTGTTTGTTTTTTTTTAATTTATTTTGAGAGAGAGTGTGAACAGGGGAGGGGCAGAGAAGGGATCAAAGGATCTGAAGTGGGCTCTGTGCTGACAGCAGAGAGACTGATTTGGGGCTCAAACTCAGGAACTGTGAGATGTCTGAAGTCGGACACTTACTGACTGAGCCACCCAGGCGCCCTTCAGTTTCTTCATGTGTGTAACGGGGAGTACCTACATCATAAGGTTGTTGCAGAGAGAAAAAGTGTTTAGAATATGCCTTGGTACATAGTAAGTGCTCAACAAAGGTTACTTTCATTATCTTTTTTCACGGAGCTGGTTTAAGAAAGAAAATAAAGAGACTTATAAATACAAGGTATTAAGTGTCATGATCGAAGCATGCATTGGGGTTATGGAGCCCAGTGCAGAGCCTGCTTAGGATTCATCCCCACCCCCCTCAATAAATAAACTTTAAAAAAAAAAAAAGCTCAGTACTGTATGTATATTGTCTATATTGTTAGAATTGTATTTGCCTTATTTACCGTATTTAACCCTAATTATTATATTCTTGCAGGAGAACGCCCATATAAATGTGAACTTTGTCCTTACTCAAGTTCTCAGAAGACTCATCTAACTAGACATATGCGTACTCATTCAGGTTGGTGAGAAATGGGAACTCTTCTATGATTTTTAGTAAACAATTTGTCATGATAAGGAAGTTCTAGACCTGGAACTGGGTCATTATTTATGATTGATTTATTTTTAAAAGCAGTTTATGATTTCTTTTTAATAATTAGAAATTAGAGTGAAAAATTGGTGTTGTATTCATGTGGAGCTGTATTTAAATGTAGATTCTTAACAAGGAATCCATAGGTGGAACTCTTGAAACTGAATGTAAATGCACGCATGCACCTTTTCTGGGCAGAGGGTCCTTAATATTCACCAGATCTTCAACTTAATATGACTAATAAAACTTGAACTACTAGCATAGGCTAAGGCTATGATACAACCCCTACCTTCTAACCCTCTCTCCCACCCCAACACAATATAACACCAAATTTCATAGTGTGTGGTTTTTAAGTTACAAGGATTCCTTCTTAACTTCAGTCCTGAACTGTGGGTTTGTCCTCTTTTGAGAGCTGATAGGGCTTCTGTGGGCTGATTTACAAAAGCCAAACTTTAAAGAATAATGGATAATCCAGGATCTCAATTAATTAATTTATAATAGATAAAATGCAGGACTAAAATAGATAATCCAGGTTCTCAGTTTATTAATCTGTAATAGATAAAATGCAGGACTATAAATGCAGTAGATTCGTCCACTCTGGTGACTGAAATAATCATGATCACCAACCAGAATTGGTCTCCATTGTCAAGATAGGTAGATGGCAAAATTAAAAAGTAAATGTTAGCTTAGGTGGTCTTAAATGGTTAATTCATTTTGGCTACAGTTGATCCTTGGTGAACTACCACATCTGATCAGAATACCCTACTTCCAAATTTAGAATATATACCCCTGTGGGGAAACTATGCTAAAATCTTCCTGTTAACAAAAGTATACATAGGCCCATCTCCCTTTAATAATTAATTGCCTTAAATTTGTGCTGTCTGGATAGCCACCAGCCTTATGTGGTTGTTGAGCTTGTGAAATGTAGCTAGTTTGAATTGAAATGTATACAATACATAGATGAATTCAAACTGAATAAAAGCATGTAAAATATCTATTTTGGGGTGCCTGGCTGGCTCAGTTAGAAGAGCATGTGACTCTTGATCTTGGAGTCTTGAGTTTGAGCCCCATGTTGGGTTTAGAGATTACTTAAATAAATAAAACTTTAAAAAATTTAAAATACTGATTACATGTTGACATGACATTGGTTATATTGGGTTAATTTTATCTGTTTTTTACTTTTGTAATATGACTACTATAAAATTTAAAATTACATATATTGCTTGCATTTTATTTCTCTTGGATATCACTATTTTAAGTCAGTGAGTAACACTTGATTACAGATTCTGACTTGAGCAGCTGCAAAGGGGTCACATAATATGCGTGCTAGCTTTTCTTCATCCTACAGGTTTGTCATGTTAATATACTTTGAATGTTCCTTTTAAATCTCCTAAGCTATTAGTTGAGTCACTTAACCAGAAACCTGATTTTGTTGCTTTGGGGTATGCCCTGGTTTCATTTTCTAAGGGTAGTTTGGATGCTCTCTCAGGCTTTTGAGGGTAGGCATCATGTTCTTTTGATAGATGTGATCTAGCCTTTAAATAAAACATTTAAGAATTTTGTATGAGTTAACTCATTTTAGTCTTTTTTAAAAAAACATTTATTTTGAGAGAGAGAGCAAGTAGGGGAGGGGCAGAGAGAGGGAGAGAGAATCCCAAGATCGATGCAAGGCTTGATCTCATAAACGGTGAGAGAGAAATCGAGTCAGACACTGAGCCACCTAGCACCCCTCATTTTAGTCTTTATAACTGTACTATCATGTATAAGTTCTATTACTGTCCCTGTTTTACCAATGGGGAAACTAAACTAACGCTTTGAGGGAATATGGCCATTTTTCCTGTAGAATGTCCCCCTTTCTGGATTTGTCTTATTTGCTTTCTCATGGTGTCATATAGTTTTTCCTTTGACCCTGTGCCTTGTATTAATTGTACACTGGAAATTAAATCTGAATGCTTGAATTCTACTTAATGTGTCTCATTTGAAGTCCTATCTGGTTGACCCATTATTAGTGTTGCTGGGTCACTGGATTAGAATGATGACAAACTTGTATCTTTTTCATTGAGTCAATAATACTTGTGTCACTGTCTCAGTGTCTGGTGTTTTACACTAGTCGCTAACTTTTGTGTGAATAATTTTTGTGTTTGTTAGCTGTTGTCTTTTGAATCTCTTCACTATGTTAAAAAAGATGATACTCCTTAGTCGCTGTTATAGTACAGCAAGTATTTTAAAAGTCTCTTAATGAGTCGTAGCTACTATTTTTTTTTAATGTTTAAGAGAGAGAGGGAGAGAGAATGCCTTGTTGTTGGCACATAGCCCCATGAGGGCTAGATCCCATGAACTTGTGAGATCACTACCTGAGCTGAAATCAAGTCATGTGCTTACCTGATAAAGCCACCCAGGTGTCCCACTACTATTATTATTATTTTTTAAGATTTTATTTTTCTAAGTAATCTCTACATCCAATGTGGGGCTCAAACTCACAACCCCGAGTTCGAGAGCCGCATTCTCTGCTGGCTGAGGTAGCCAGGCATCCCAGTAGTAGCTATTATTTATTATATGCCTGCCAGGCAATGAAAAATTAATCTTAGTACTCCTAAAATACTTAATCCCAGTTTATGGATTAGGACACAGGTGTAAGATAAATGCTTTATCTAAGGTTGTCATTCCTTTAAATCAGAAGAAGAGCTAAGATTTCAAATGGCTCAAGAAGCTATAGCATAATGAAATTGAAACCACAGTGTATAGAGAGAGCAGATATTGTCTTTTATTGGATGCCAATGGTTTGAGACTCAAATGGGAAATAGTTTGTTTTGTGTATGAGTGTGCAGTTATTTCCAGCAGATCCTATATTTTAATGCTTTTAATAGAAGTTGCCAGTAGCGCTTGTAAGTAAAGTAAGGCTATGTTAGATCAAATTGGGTTGGTAGTTTTTTCTTTTTAATGGATTGCATGGAGTGAATATCTTGGGTGCCTCATCTGTGGCCTGGAGTCTGAACTTTAAGGTCCCCATGGGCATGTTTGTTCCTTGTTCATGTGAGTGTATTTTAGGGAAGAAAACTGTGCTCAGTCTCTTATTTTTGGAAGAGATTAGGCTCTATGGAGTTGGTACATTTTAGCTTCATCTATAGGGTTTGTCTTTTTAGGGCAAAGTAAGAAAGGATCAAAATGTTGATTAGGTGAAAAATTGTTATACTAAATTAATCTAACCTTATCTGGTGTTATTCTCCATTTTATTGGTGTTTCTCCCTAATGGTATTAAAGTATCCTTCACTTGGCTAGTCTTAATTACACTGACATTATATGTTCTCCCTTTCTTATTCTCAGAAATGGTACCATTTCATCCTGGATGAGATACTTCATTCTGGATGAAATACATCTAGTTTGTTTTGTATATGCTGTTACAATATTTGGCTAGTACCCTGTCTTGCTAGCATAGGAGTTCATCTTGAATATTTTTCCATAATGAGTGTAATAGATGTTTGTTAAAGGAGATTAACAACTTACCAAGTTCCACTTCCATGTATTACTCTTTTTAAGGTGGAAAAATATTTTATTCAGCAATAAATTTATTTTCCTTTCACCAAGTATTTGATAATTATTATGGAGGCACTATTTTAATAGCTGGACTTATTTGAAAGATATTGTGGTTTGACAGTCTTCATGAATTCTAGAATAAGCTTTTTCCCTGTTTGCTATTTTATTTTTCCCCTCATTAAAAAAAAATATTTTTTTAAATTCAAGTTAGTTAACATACAGTGTAGTATTGGTTTCAGAAGTAGAACTCAGTGATTCATCACTTACATACAACACCCAGTGCTTATCCCAAGTGCCCTCCTTGATGCCCATCACCTATCTAGCCCATCCCCCACCCACCTCCCCACCAGCAATCCTCAGTTTGTTCTCTGTATTTAAGAGTCTTAGGGTTTGCCTCCCTCTCTGCTTTTTATCTTATTTTTCCTTCCCTTCCCCTGTGTTCTTCTGTTGTATTTCTTAAATTCCACATATGAGTGAAATCATATGATATTTGTCTTTTTTTCTCATTTTAACATGTCATGTCAAATTCAACTTACTATGCAGTTTGGGGTTTTGTTGTCAGTAAACATTTTTTATTGAAGTATAGTTGATATATAATGTTACGTTAATTTCAGGTGTATAGAATAAATTTTTAAACAGTATTATATTGAGGTTCAATTTACACATGTGAAAATGCATACATGTATCTGAAGTGTAAAGGTCAGTGACTTCACATGGTTTCTCCTGTTTGACTGCCACCTGGAGGAAAAACTGAAACATTTCTACACCCTCAGAAAAGTTTTCCCCTTACGCTTTCCAGTCAGTACTCCCTCATAGTCTATCTACCCCCAACTGATACTCTGACTTCTATCAAAAAGATTACTGTAATATTTTTCTATAAAATGTTTTTGACATTCATCCCATGCTGCTTTATCAGAACTTTGTTTTTATTGCTGGGTAGTAATCAATTGTGTGCCTCAGTACTCTCTAATTAAAAAAGGTCCCTTGGGGGGCGCCTGGGTGACTCGGTTAAGCATCTGACTTCGGCTCAGGTCATGAACTAGTGGTTTGTGGGTTCAAGCCCCACATTGGGCTCTGTGCTGACAGCTCAGAGCCTGGAGCCTGCTTCAGATTCTGTGTCTCCCTCTCTCTCTGTTCCTTCCCCGCTCTTACTCTGTCTCTGTCAAAAATAAATAAAGGTTATAAAGGTCCCTTGCTATTCTTTCCAGATTCTTGATAAAAACATGTAAAGCATATAAAAAAACTTTCCCCTTTTGAATTTGCTGTATACCTTTAAGTTAATTTGGGAAGAATAAAATAGGCATCTGATACATGTATAAAGATGAAAAACAGATAAATATTATTAGAATTGGAAAGGAATTAAGTTAAAATCATTGATACAAGGCAAAAAATTATATTTACCTAGGTACTAATAAACTATAAAGTTTTGATGACTAAATCTTCTAATACAAGCAAGATTTAATGACAAGAAAATAAAACTGAGGGGAAGGAATGGAGCAAGTAAACTTTGCCATCAAAATTTAAACAGATTATGAACTCCCTTTCTCTGACCATTTCATATGTAGAGGCTAGCACTTTGATGCTTGCTGTGTAAATACCCTTATTAGTTAGGAGTTATACAATGGTGATATTTCTATTAGCACAAATGTTTTCATAAAAAGATAAACTTCATTCATCAGCTATTAGAGGTAGGGTTTAAATGGAAAAGAAGATAGAGGTGTCTGGGTGACTCAGTTAAGCGTCTGACTCTTGATTTTGGCTCAGGTCAGTCTCCTGGTCGTGAGATTGAACCTCAAGTTGGGCTCTGCACTCACAGCGCAGGGCCTGCTTAGGATTCTCTCTCTCTCTCTCTCTCTCTCTCTCTCTCTCTCTCTCTCTCTCTCTCTCTCTCTTTTTCTTTTTCTCACTCTCTCTCCCTCTCTTTCTCTCTCAAAATAAATAAATAAACTTAAAAAAATGGAAAGGCAGGATAAACACATGAATCTTGCCTTTTGTTTACCCATACTAAATTACCAGTTCTGAAAGTGATGATTTATAGGTAATGTATTTGGGCTGCTTGACTCTTTGCTCCAGACTAAGTGCTTTATATAGATTAAATTATTTATAGCTCACAGCACTTAAAGTATTTTACAGATGACATTGAACCTTACAGTTTTCAGTACATTGCTTAATATCTCAGTGAGTTGGAAAAGAGCCCATATTTATTTGATCTCCCATAGTCTCATTCTAGAAAAAGTTCTTTTTTTTTTAATAGTTTATATATTTATTTTGAGAGAGTATGAGTGGGGAAGGGGCAGAGAGAGAGGGAGAAAGAGAATCCCAAGCAGGCTCCACACTGTCAACGCGGTGCCCAGTGTGGGGCATCATCCCATGAACTGTGAGATCATGACCTGAGAAGAAGTCAAAAGTGGACTCTTAACCAACTGAATGACCCAGGTGCCCCTCTAGAAGAAATCCTTAACCATTATGTCACCTGTCTTTCCCCATTCTGTGTCTATATATGTTAAGCAAATGTTTATCTCCGCTGAGGTCATTTATGGAGAGGACAAGAAAGGGCCAAGTAATGCAGCATGTTGTAGAAACCTCTATTTATGAATCTCTTAGTGGACTAATGTGGAAAATGAGTTGTCCAATTAGCTATATAGCCAATCTGATATACCTGGATAAGTTTTTGTTTTTGTGATTATTTTTATCATCAGACATTTTTTTAATCATGTAAAGCTTACCATGGTTTTACTTAATGTCTGAGAAATTTGCTTTATGAAAAAATTAGATTTGCTATGAATTTGATAATGTTTGAGAGATGAATTTTCATAAATGTCAATTTCCATTTTTCTACTATGCATTCCATTGGACCAGTGGGGTATGGATACCATTTGGTAATATTTACTAGAGTGTGATCTAGATGGGTATGTATTCAGGTAGAATGTGTTAATCTTACACCTTTAATTTGGGGGTGGGGGTGGTTTTGGTTTTGTATGTACCTGTGATCTGTGATCATGACTTTCTTCAATTATTTTACATACCATATCTATTTGTATGCCCTTTCTCATTTATGTAGTTTCTTTGCTCGTTTGTTAGAAGAAGGTAGGGAAAAATTAAGAAAAGGTTTCTGGCTTTACTATATTTTTGCTTTAAAATAACACTTCTGGCTGGAAGAATTTGCTGAGTGAAACTTTACTTTTGCAGGGATGGACAAAAGAGTTAAATTTAAAGAAAAGGCCTTTTGCTCCCTGAGGCCAAAACTTTTGTTTTACAACTTCTACATGGAAGATCTGGGAATATAGCCTGGAGTGTAAGATCTTTCCTTTGAAGTCTCAAGATTTATCTTCAAAATGGATGGGAATTTTATATTCTGCTCCATTATACATTTGTTTTAACTGAACATAAAACATTTAAAATTATCTTTTCTCTTTGAGTGCCCTTGTCCCAAAATTCACATCCAGAATCCAACTAACTTTGCCAATAATTGTTGTGTACTTCTTGATGAATTGCTGTTCTCGTATAGTGTTTGAGAGCTCTAGCTTCATGAACTTTTTAGAAGATGATGCTTAAATGAGATCATTGTTCCTGCATTTGGTGTGAGAATTAATGTCAAGGGGTAGAGAAAAGATCTACAAATAAATATGGTAAATGTAAAGTGCATGATACAGTCTTTTCAATGAATAGTTTTTGTGTGTGTTTTTTAAACATATATCCAATTCCCTATATTTTAATAAAAACTTGAATTCATTTCTTAATCTCTGTTCTCTCTAACATCTCTTGTTTGCCTTCAGGTGAGAAGCCATTTAAATGTGATCAGTGCAGTTATGTGGCCTCTAATCAACATGAAGTAACCCGCCATGCAAGACAGGTTCATAATGGGCCTAAACCTCTTAACTGTCCACATTGTGACTACAAAACAGCAGATAGAAGTAACTTCAAAAAACACGTAGAGCTACATGTGAATCCACGGCAGTTCAATTGTCCTGTCTGCGACTATGCAGCTTCTAAGAAGTGTAATCTGCAGTATCATTTCAAATCTAAGCATCCTACTTGTCCTAATAAAACAATGGATGTCTCAAAAGTGAAACTAAAGAAAACCAAAAAGCGAGAGGCTGACTTGCCTGATAACAACATTACCAATGAAAAAACAGAAATAGAACAGACAAAAATAAAGGGGGATGTGGCTGGAAAGAAGAATGAAAAGTCTGTAAAAGTGGAGAAAAAAGATAATGTTTCAAAAGAGAAAAAGTCTTGTAGTAATGCTTCAATCCAAGTGACTACCAGAACTCGCAAATCAGCAATGGAAACTAAAGAAATGGATGTGCACACAGGAAATAATTCAGAAGCAACCTGTAAAACCAAGAAAGGCAAAAGGAAGATGGAAGCTGAAGCCCATCCCTTACAAGATCTTGTTAACGAGGAGGAACCTGTGACAAAAAAGAAAAAGAAGGCAGAAAGCAAATCCAAAAATAATCAGGAAGTGCCAAAAGGTGACAACAAAGTAGAGGAGAATAAAAAGCAAAATACCTGCATGAAAAAAAGTACAAAGAAGAAAACTCTGAAAAATAAGTCAAGTAAAAAAAGCAGCAAGCCTGCTCAGAAGGAGGTTGCTCAGAAAGGGCCTGCTCAGACGGAGCCTTCTCCCAGGGGGCCTGCACAGACAGAGCCTTCTCCCAGGGGGCCTCTGCTCAGACGGAGCCTTCTCCCAGGGGGCCTGTGCAGATGGAGCCTTCTCCCAGGGGGCCTGCTCACCGGGGGCCTCTCAGGCCCCAGCGGGCAGCTTCTCCCGTGGGCCTGCACTGACAGGAGCCTGCCCAGCCTCCCCGGGGGGCCTGTCCAGGCAGGAGCCTTCTCCAAGGGGGCCTGGGCAGAGGGAGCCATCTCCTGTCCCAGAGCCTGCTCAGACGGATATGGGTCAGAGGGAGCCGCCTCCTGCCACAGAGCCTGCTCCAACAGAGTCCCCTCCTTCTGTGGGGCCTGCTCAGATGGAGGTAGTTCAGACGGAGCCTCCTCCCACAGAGCCTCCTCTTCACATGGAACCAATTCCCAAAAAGTCTCCTCGAAAAGATAATAAAAAGGAAAAGTCCCACACGCAGAGTGAAATGGCACAGAAGGAGCAAGTCCTTATTGAAGTTGGCTTAGTGCCTGTTAAAGATAGCCAGCTTCTAAAGGAAAGTGTGGGTGCGAGAGATCTCTTACCACCATCAACACCACTGCCAAAGGAAAACTTAACAGAAGAGGAGTCAAAAGACCAAAAATTATTCACCGAAGACGAAGGAAATAAAGAAGCCCCTCTTCAAAAAGAAGTAAAAGAGGCAGATAAAAGTCTAGCTGGTGTTGCTGCTATTATCAATGAATCTGCTAATATTTCATCCTCTGAACAAAACTTGAATATGCCAGAGGGTGAAACTTTAGATGGTAAGTGTCAGGCTGGCGCAATGCTTTGTGAAATGGAAATGGACACTGATGAGAACAAAACCGAGAATCCCCCTGGCAAAGACTCAGCAGTTGAAGAACAAATGTCACCACTGCTGCTTCCCCTAGCAATAGAAAACCATGAAGCAGTGTCCAAAACTACTGCGACATCACCTCCTGTCACCACGGCAGTAAATGAGTCTCAGGAAATGGATGAAGATGAAGGCATCCATAGTCATGATGGAAGTGATCTAAGTGACAACATGTCAGAGGGTAGTGATGATTCTGGATTGAATGGGGCCCGGCCAGTTCCACAAGAAACCAGCAGGAAAAATGCTAAGGAGGCCTTGGCAGGCAAAGTGGCTGAGGGAGATTTTGTTTGTATCTTCTGTGATCGTTCTTTTCGAAAGGAAAAAGATTATAGCAAGCACCTCAATCGCCATTTGGTTAACGTATACTTCCTTGAAAAAGCAGCTAAAGGGCAGGAGTAATTAAACGTAGGATAAGGCTTCAGTTCTTAGTTTATAAGATCTATTACATTTAATATTCATTTATAGTTATAGACAACGTTTTATTTTTTAAATTGCTTTAATTAGTGTCCAATGTTGATTTTTAAGTGGCACTCTTTTCCTTAGGACTCTGTACACCTATTGATGGGTAAATTTTAGCATATCCAAGGAAGTTAGTGTACTAAACCAGCAGACTCCTAAATCTGTTAGTTTATACATTTAATTGAAATGAGAAGGCCAAGGTGGTATTGTAGCATTCCGTTGCTTTGTCTGGCTGTAATTTGTCACTTTTCTCGCCATGTCTGTCTTCTTGTTTCACTTTAGTGTTTTCTTAGTTCCTGGTTTAGCGCTATAAAAATTGGCATACGTAAATAGCAAATTACTTGAAAAATTTGCCTGCTTTATATAAAGTTAGCACTTTAAAATCTTTTTAGAGATGAGAAGAGACATTTAAATTGAAGAAAAATTCTCCCAACAGTGGACATTGTATCAGTCCAGGTATTTACTTCCTGAATTTTGATCAATATTTCTTATTTGTGTGTGTTAATTGTCATAAAAACAATGATTTTGGTGTGTGTGGTTTTTTTGGGTTTTTTGTTTTGTTTTTTGTTTTTTTTTTTTTTTTTTTTTTTTTTTTTTTTTTTGGTGCTTTAATGGCTTAAGATGTTGCACATTGTTGTTTTTTTTTAACCTATGCAGTTCAATTTTTTTCTAGAAATAGCATTTGTGTTGAACAGTAACACTTTATACATATATATGCATGTTTATTTTGTCCTCTTTGGAGGGATGCTTTTAGTCTTGTTTGCAAAAGGGCAGTTTTCCTTTTCCTTTGCTGCAATTGTCTTTTTTGCAGAATATGTGTGCAAATTTGTGAGCAAATGAAACATGCAGGTTCAATCCATTGATTTTGAATTTCACATCTTATATCTATGCCAGAATCTGTATTTCACATAAGTTATTTATTTTAAATGGATGTAGTGAATTCACAGCTCTCATTTTGACCTGTACAAGAAACAAACCACTAGGCTCTATATTGAACAGATTTTTATCTCAGAAACCAACCATAAGTGAAAATTTTTGGCTTGTTTTAGTACAGCTACTTCCTAAATGTTCAGTGTTAAGTCATATCTTTGAGGAAAACCTTTTTACATAGATGGTTGGTGTCCATATGGCTACTTGGCTGAATAAAGAACTGAAAGTGATATTTGGAAACTGCAAACCTGGAATTAGGAGACATAATTACTCTTTCAAGTTATACAGAATATCAGTTGTGAGAGTCCAAAGCCATAGCAATTACACAGGAAACCTAGGTGGAGAGAAGTAGTATGAGTGCTGGGAGACCAGCTGCTACTTACTTCCTATGAATACAGTGCAAAAGGCAGGTGAAACTTAAGTACAGTCCAGATTTTAAAAATCACACTTTCTCAGGGATCTCCACAAACTAGTGGGTGTCCTGGCTGTCTCTGACAGCCTCTTTCTACAGGTGAGGCCTCAAATGAATTGCAGCTATCCTGGTGTTCCCATGGGGGCACTTTGTATGAAGAAAGAGTGTATTCCCAAACTTTTTTGGTAGGTTCTTTGGCCAGTTGCCAAAGAATATGAAAGAATCCAACATTGGATTTTTCTTGCTGATAGCAATTATTCATTACAGTAAAAGTGTGATCCCAATAGGGAATCTTGAACAGTGCTGATCCTCCCATGTTCTGTTCTGAAATAACCACTTTCTGTGTCATTTATTTTCTTTTATCTGATGATCTCTTTGAGGCAGGTTTCAGAGTTTGGCAATGCAACATGAAAGATTAGGAAAAGCATTGATGAAGTGTGGGTGGAAAACTTGTTAAAAATCTGAGAGTGAAGTTTGAGTTAAAAGACATTTGAACTCGGAATTGACTGGGAGGCCAAAGATTTAAAGAAGAGAAGATTCTCTCAAGACATGAGGAGTAAGTTGTGTGTTAATGGTGTGTGTTTTGTGTGCATGAATGGGAATTTGTAAATGATGTTGAATTCTAGGTGAATTCATGGCTCCGACAATCATTGTCAACAGAAGATCAAGCTGCAAATATTTATGTTTTAAAACTTAAATTATAAAGCTAGTTAAATCCTTCTAACAACTAGTTTTAATGTTCATGGGTACATTTTATGTAAGTTACCTTTTACATTATATATGAAAAGACTCATGTTAAGTACAGATTGGAGATTGGGAATCAGTTTGGGGAAAGTTTTGTGGATTCTTTCATGCTACAAAAGAAAACAATTAGACATCTAGGGAATTGGACTAATTTTCTTACCTAGTTTTTAAGACTAGAATGGTAAAAACAAAAATATGAAGGAAATTAAAACCCCTTATTATTAAATTGATCTGTGAAAACATTGTTACTGGAAATTGAGTGGGACTTGAGGCCTTTCTTCCAGAAAACAAGGACTTGATTGTCAGGCCTATATTAGGTTCTGAACTTTAATGCCATGTATTTGTACTTGTTAAAAATTGTTTCAATGAAAAATATATTAGTAATATGAACTTCTGGTCTAGTTGGGAGTTCTTCCATTTGAAAAATGTGATATTTGCATGGAACTGTTTGAATCTTTGTTTTCTCAGTTTCCCCTCCACTGGATAGAATTGAAACTAGAATTTTCCCTTTTGTTAAAGGAATAAAAAGTGAACATGTTATTTGTAAATTGATGTTTAGTAACTAGAGATAAACTTGAAATGCTAGAATACATTATAAGCCTAATCCTAGGTAGTCTTATGAAAATGTATCTCTTTTATCTATCTTTTGAACCTATATTCACATTGGTCTTCAAGATATCTTAAGTTATATTTTTTCCTCTTTTCAGAGCTGCTTCTTTGGGGCTACTTTTTTAAATTGAGGTGTAATTCATAAGGGGCTACATTTCTGATAAGGTTTCTTATAACTATGGTTGGATGTTTTGCTCTAGTCTTCCAAGAAGGGCCATTTTATTTTTTAGAGTCACTTCTAAGGTCATGTGGTCTTTAACTTTGGGGACTATTTTGCATATAAGTGCTAATGCAGGTAAATTTAAACCCAAGTAGACCTCATCACATGTCACCCCATGAATGTTGACAATGGAAGGAATACCTTGCCTGTAGTATAATATCAGTTCTGGACTGAAAAGCTGGGGAAGAAACTTAATTTTCTTTTTTGCATAAATCAGAAAAACAGCTAGTGTGCAGTTTCCTTGTTGACCTCAGCAGATGAACTGAGCTGATAGTGTTAATTCAGATTGAAGAAATTATCTGAATCTTGGTTTGTGTAGATTTACAATCTACATGCAATATTAACTAAATCAGATAGCTTTTACATTTTCACGTGTGTGCATAGGCTCTCCCCACCCTTTTCAACATCCACTAGTTAATTGATCGTTTTAAACTGGCATTGAAACATTACAACAATGTTTTGTTGCACCAATTTTATAAACTTTTACAGTGCAATACGTGTTATTTTTCCGAGACAAACCAAAGGTTAATTTCTCAAGGTTCTTGCTGCCTGCTTTAGCAGCATTTGATGGGAGGATCTTTTATATACATTTATGATAGATGAAAAATAAACCAGATTGCAAATCTTTTTTTTTTTTTTTTTAAATGCTTAAACCATGTACCAAGTTTTTGGTCCAAATTGTGTAGGATAAGTTAAACTTAAATTGCATTCTATTAACCAATATGAGTGTATTTCTGTAAGCATAGTTATGTTGAAATAAAGTTTTAAAAAGCATTTTATGCCTTTGTTTATTATTGGTACATCAAGTATTGAAGAACCAAATTTGTTTTGCTGTAATTGCAAGTATATTAATTCCAAAACTATTACGTCTGATAGCCCGTGGTAGGTAGAAAGGTCATGGCAGTCTGTTTGGGGTAACAATCCAGTGGGTAGTAGTCCAAAGCATATCTTTCCTAAATGGTGCTTTCTCAGAGATGGTCATCAGGAAGAAACAACCTAAAGACAATTCATAGTAGGTTTTACATAGTAATTACTTCCCAACCCTTAACAGTTTTAACATAAATATCCTTTCTCAGTAGTAGCAGGCCTGGTGTTAGTACATTTTGACTCATAATTAAAAAGATGCATTGAAGGGAAAATAAGTTGAATTACACTGAGTGTTGACAGCCAGGGTACCATTTTAAGAATTTTACTGTGTTTAGCGGAGATCTGAGAAGAAAATGAAACTCAAGGAAAAGTGATAAGCCATGTTCTTAATAAGAGTCTGCTTTTTTGTTAATGGAAAAACATGTGCTTTTAATGTGTTTTTGTTGAGGTGGAAAAAAAGGGGGAGAGGGTGATGGAGAAAACTGTGCAGAACATCAAAACAACTGGATTGCATTCTGTCCTGATACGGCAAGTGACCCGGAATGTATGGAGTCCTAAAGAAATGGGACGTTTCATACTGATGAGAGATTCACCTTCTGACTTCTTTTGCAAGACTCCTGTCAGCAAAAAAGCAAAATGAATTTGCAAGATTTATTTTATTGGCATGGTAGAATCAAGAACAAGGAGCATGAAAGTTTGCCCGACCAAGGATATGTGGGGAATTTATCTTGAATATAAATGCTATTGATGTCTGACTTGGTTTGTTATCTTTAATGAGTGAAAGAGTGGTTACAAGTGTCTTTCTCCAGTCCCTTTCTACCTCTTTTCCAGAGGCTTACCCTTGTTAGGATGTCTACATATGCGCTACATTTACACTTAACCAGTTGGCCATCTTTTTTTCTCCCCAAGTTCTCAGGGCTTGACTCATTTGTAGGTAGTTACAGTGTAGAAGTATGAGCTTCCAGCCAGGGTACTTCACAGCACTCTCCTCAGCTCCATAAAGGCAGATTGGTGAAGGTGCTAAGAACAATGTGCTAGTGTTTGGTAATAAGGGAAAGTTTCAGTGTTAAGAAATTGCCTTTTCAAAGGATTTTGATGCTTACTGTATCAAGTACTCTGTCAGCCTTTGAGATAGAGCTGGGTTCACAATGGGCCTCT